GTCGTTAAAAGAAAAATTGATTGATATAAGATCTAGCAGTTCATAAATGACAGGTATTTTCCTATTCTGATCATATGGTAACTTTGAAAACGCTAAAATTTGTTTAACAAAATGTTTGTTGATTTTTAAACAAATTATGATGTAAACGAAAGCTTGACTTATTTATACTGTTCATTCTTTCAGAAAATAACTGGATTAGTACCGAACTTTAAACTCATATCAGATCTGCGTAGTTGAGATATTAGCTTGTTTATATAAACACAGAATAAGAAAGGAGATGACACTGCTCCTTGTCGTACTCCGATAGTAACAGAGCAAGTTCCAGATAAAAGGTTTCCTCATATAACATTTCACTTCTGATTTGCGTAAATATAAAGCAAATATCTAAGGAGCAAAGGTGATATATTTCTTTCCAGTAGCTCTGGAAATAACTTTTTCCACCAACAAGATCAAATGCCTTGCTGAGTTCCATAGAACAGGCAAATACAGGTCTTCCTGCTCTATTGTAGTAATCTACAACACTCACAATTCCCAATGCACATAAAGATGAACTGGAGTTGGCCTGAAACCCATCTGAAGTTCATCTGTACTCAGGTTTTCCTCTTCTAGGATAATGATTAACCAGTCTAACAACTTTAGAATAAGGGCTTCCAATAGCTATGGTTCTATAGTTATCACTGCTAGTTATATCTCCAATATTATCCTTAACATGCAATGGGAACAATTGTACATAGTAAAAGGAAGACTGGAACCTTCCCTGTTCTCAAAAACCATTTAAATAAATTTGTCACGTGTTGTATTAGCTCTGGAGGAGAATTGATTAAACAACCTGAATTAAAATCAAAAACTGGGTAAGATTTAGAAGATTTAAGCTTGTTTAAAGCTGATGCAACAGTCTGTGTATTTACTTTATCTATGTCCTGCAGTAATGTCTCATCTATTCTGGAATTTATAGATTTGGAAATACCATTAAACTCATCTCCTGGTTCCTAGTTCATGTCTCTGGTATAGTTCTTAGTATATGTCAGCAAAATGTTCAGAAATATCCTGTCAACTGCATTCTTCCATCTACAGTATAGAAGATATATTTCTACTTTTTCCGCGTTGTTTCTTGATTTCTTTGTAGATATCAACTCCACCATTTAATAAACCATTAATAAACTTATCTTTTTTAATGTTACTAGCCTTATAGGGCGCTTCGCGCCCATCTTCTAAATTAATTGTGAACATGTTCTCTTTGTGTACATCGTAAAACAAAACAAAAATAATTCGCGGATTTTCACAAAAAATTTCGAGGATTTTCAAAATTTTAAAAAAATTAATGAAGATCGAATTTTGATGGAGACAAATATTTAAAATTTCAATCATTCATAAACCTTCCCTGGGGTCCCTTGATGTCCCACAAAAAATTTGGGCCCGCTCGGTTCAGCCGTTTTGACGTTTATTGGATACAAACAGACAGACAGACAGACAGACAAACAGACAGACAAGCCAAAGGAACTGAGTTCTTTCCACAAACTATGGTTTTCTAATCTCTATATCTTTGTAACCCAATGTCGTAGACCTTAGATATTTCAAACTATTGATATATATAGATAAATTAATCCAAGTTTGAAATATCAAAGGTTTACACCATCAGGTTGCAAAGATATTGGGTTCAGAAAATATGAGTTTGTGGCAAAAACTCAATTCCTTTACGGATAGATTAGATGCCCTCTCATTACCATGCTGAATTCCAAAGGAAAGTTTTTTAATACCCATGCTTATTAAAAGACTATCCAGTTTGTAATATTTGATCATATGTCAAACATTATTTACTTTTTGTTAGACACTACAAACTCCCATGTATCTAAATGTTCTTATCTAATTATTCAACTTAATAAAAACAAATATATGTATCTATCTATATACATATCTATTAATATTAGCTTTATATCTACATATACTTATCTATCTATCTGTCTAACTATCTACCTATCCACTATCTATTTTCTCCTCAGTAATCGTAAAACAATGCAGAATATAAATTGATAATGTGATGGGTCCATTAAATAATTAATTACAATAAATTAAGATGAGTTAAAAGTTTGAATTCATTACTGTGCTAAATTAATTGCGAATCTAACCAAATGCACTTAACTGAACATTTACCAACAAAAAGAAACTTCAGTCAAATTTAAAAGTTTCAAAAGATTAAGATTTAAGAAAGTTCAGCTGAGTTTAAGTGATGATGTAGTACCTACTCCATAACATTTTACTAGAGACGTATCTATCTAGGTCTACTCGTAACCAAAATCAACCAGGACTAATTCTCCGATTCTAAAGGACACACAGCCCAAAACTCTACTCGTATAATTCAACGAGGTCACAAGCTACCTTTCAAGCTATATTCAATTCGATTACCAATTATCAAGGCAAGATCTACGCTTGTATGTTTCAACGAAAACCCAAACTTTCAAGCTATATTCGATTCAATGCTAAATCAACTAGCAAAGATCTCCACTTGTATGTTTCAACGCGAACCAAAGCTTTGTTTCAAGCTCAGTATGCTTCTGATAACTTAATCAAAAGCCGAGTCTCCATCAACTGATCTATATTTCGTATAGTTCATATTCGAGTTGGGTTATTTACAGCGTAATTACAAGTTATTAGCGGTTACTATCTATAATACATTAAATCACATTTATGGGAATGAAGTTATTTCTATCTACAACCATGGAATGGATTAATCGCATTACAGGATTTGCGTAGTTACTATGTGAACAAATGATACGTATATATTAGATTAGGCCCCAAGTTTTGCTACAATGATAATCTTTACGAAGTGAATACATTATTAGGTTATACACTACATACTATATTATTATTATAAAGATTTATTCACACACAAAGATACGTGACTAAGATATTAGACAACTCCGAAAGATAGTCATCAGAGTATACAGAAGAAGTTGACATGCGTTGATACCTTCTTCTTCTTCTCCTCGACCCTGACCTACAAGATTATCTACAGAGTATACAGAAGGAGTTGGCATGCGTTGATACCTTCATCTTCTACTCCTCGACCCTGACCTACAAGGTTTTCTACAGAGTATACAGAAGAAGTTGACATGCGTTGATACCTTCATCTTCTACTCCTCGACCCTGACCTACAAGGTTTTCTTCAGAGTATACAGAAGAAGTTGACATGCATTGATACCTTCATCTTCTGCTCCTCGACCCTGACCTACAAGGTTTTCTACAGAGTATACAGAAGAAGTTGACATGCGTTGATACCTTCATCTTCTGCTCCTCGACCCTGACCTACAAGGTTTTCTTCAGAGTATACAGAAGAAGTTGACATGCGTTGATGCCTTCATCTTCTACTCCTCGACCCTAACCTACAAGGTTTTCTACAGAGACAGAAGAAGTTGACATGCGTTGATACCTTCATCTTCTACTCCTCGACCCTGACCTACAAGGTTTTCTACAGAGTATACAGAAGAAGTTGACATGCGTTGATACCTTCATCTTCTACTCCTCGACCCTGACCTACAAGGTTTTCTACAGAGTATACAGAAGAATTTGACATGCGTTGATACCTTCATCTTCTACTCCTCGACCCTGATCTACAAGGTTTTCTTCAGAGTATACAGAAGAAGTTGACATGCGTTGATACCTTCATGAGAACAGGAGCTGCATGTGGAAAGAAGACAGGGAGTTCTTCTAATGCAAATTCTTTCTTGATTCCATACTACACGGTACTACCCCCCCCCCCCACACACACACACACAAACGAAGATCAGAAAAAATGCGCCTTAATTATTCTTGGTTTATATTGTTGCTAACAACTTTATCAATTATAAATTGCAAAAACTTTGAAGCTTCAGGGGTCGGTGTTAGAGGTATTAAAGATACAATGGATGCATGTTTAGAAAATTGAGATAAATGTTTAAAAGTTTAGAAAAACAGAGTTTAAACTTTTGAATAAATAATGAAGAAATGATTAAATTCCTCCCAAAGGGTTCTTCCAACTACATTCAGATTATGTTAAAAAGTTTACCCCTTAATGTTGTTTAAAAACATTTACTGTTATTTAATCTTTAAAAGATATTTAGTAAAAAAAATCACAAAAATTTGGCCTTGGGCTTTGGTTTCCATTCGCTATAAGAACTGTGGCTGAGCCATAATTTTGGCGTAGTAATATGGACAACAAATTTGGATTGTGCGATTTTGGTATCCAAAAAACGTTAAAACGGTAAAAATTATTAGGGCCAAATTTGTATGGGTTCCTGGCCAGGCAGTAGGGTTTATGGACGCAACAATGAAAGCCTGAACAAATACATGCAAATCTTAAATTATTATGTATCAACAATGTATGACATAAAAAATTCTTTGTATTATTAGAAATGTATTTTTGTTAAAATTATTTCTTCGGAATACTTCATTAATTAGTGCTGCATCTGCAGTTTAAACATTCAGAGCTTTTTGTGTAACTTTAAATATATAGGGAAGATTTTAGAAATTAAATGGTGAAAACCCGGGGGGGTGATGAAGATCCCCCCCCCTCATATAATTATAGTTCTTTGTGTGAACGTCTAAGCACTACGGTATTTTTGCTAGTCTCGTTTTTGCAAGCGTCAATTTTTGTTGTACTTCATTTTTGCCAAATGAACATTTTTTCCTAGCCTAGCCACAGGGCTCGGTCTCTAGCCTGTCCTAGCCACAGGGCTCGGTCTCTAGCCTGTCCTAGCACTTGGGCTCGGTCTCTAGCCTGTCCTAGCACTTGGGCTCTCTTTCAGCCTGTGGCGACTCAAAAACCTAGCCTGACGTCAAAAATGTCGTATTGCTTATTGCGTAATTACTTTTTTGCCTTTCTAGATGTATATGTAAAAATAACATTGGCAAACATGTGGTGGTAGTGCCTAATAATCTTAGAACTGGTATTGTTGATGATTGATAATTGAATTAAGAAAGAATTTTTTTCGAGATAATCTTTTCCGAAAATAAATAATTATTTTCAGATAATGGAGAAGGAATGTCCCCCCAGCTTTGCTCGGCAGGTAATCTAAACATTTTTATTTATCGCCCAATTTTGTTTTACCGATAATAGTACATATATTTGTATGATGTAGATCTTATGTACACTATACATATCACCCTGTCATATATAGATCTTATGTACACTATACTTACACCCTGTCATATATAGATACACTATGGGAACCCAGCCTTGTAAAGTTTACTAGGTACTCCAGCCGTTTACCCGCACTTGGACGATTTTACTTTTTGCTATTAAAGTCGATTCACTCAATTTAGACTCTTAAAACTAAGCTAAGAACGTTCCAGTGGTTCTCCTGAGTTCCCCAATCAAAATTTGAGGCAAATCGATCAATGGGTTAATTCAGGAGTTATGATCGGATATACAAACAGAGATTTCAACTTTATAAATAGGTAGACTAGCTTCGGAACCCAGCGCTGCCAAGGTTACACAAAGTTACTCCCACCGTTTACCCGCTCTTGAACGATTTTAACGGGAAACTTTATTTTCGCTATTAAAGTCGACCCATTCAACTTAAAATCTCAAAACCAGGCTAAGAACATTTCCGTAGTTCTTCCAAGTTCCCCAATCAAAATTGTGGACTAAATATGTGAAAAAAACTATTCATAACTTAATAAGTAAAGTATCTATTTGGCCATTTTTTCTTCACTTTGTTATTCATGAGCTGGGTTGGAAATTGATAAGAAATTTATATGTTTAAAATTAGACTTTATAATCTTTAGACTTATCGAGGTATATTTTTGTTGCTGTATGACCGAGTAGTCTCTACTCACCCCGGACTATCCAGAGTGAGAAGCATTCGGTTTCTTTTATTTGAAATCAAACGTGTTTTGGTCTATAATTTAACAATAATTTAACAATAATTTAACAATCTACAAACTTACTGATTTGTTTATTTTATATTTTTTCATTCAAAATGTATATGCCGACAAAAAAGTATTTAAGAAAAAGGCTAAACAATTTTAATGGGTGAAATTGTGATCGAAAGTCGCAGCTTTCTGAAAATATTGACAGAACCGTGGTGGACTCTAGAGACAAGTTTTCCTAATCATTTATCATCTCTAATAATCAATCAATCACCAATTTGATAATTTACTTACTTATCTTTATTCCTTAAACAAATTATTGTAAAAAAACGGATTATCGGCTAAAGAACATAAATGCATTAAATTGATTTATATTAAGTATTTTACATAAAATATTCCCCTGAGTCATAAATGCATTACATTGATTTATATTAAGTATTTTACATAAAATATTCCCCTGAGTCATAAATGCATAAATACTTTAGAAATGAAATAGTGTTACTGGTAAATCAATGCATTAATGCAATGTAACAAATGAATTTCAATTTAACCCTAATAAAACCTAATAAAACAAGCAACCCCGATTTTAACGGTACCCATAAAACCTTCATATATAAAGGATAACGTCGTTTTCTAGCTTGAGAAATTTTAATTCTAATAATTTCTCCATCGTTACTGATCAAGAAATATGCAAGTAATTTTTGCAGAGAAACCACAAATAAAAAAAACAGTTTTCAAAACAAAAACATAAATTCAGATTTAATAAGAATAAAGGTTGGATACCGTTGGAAACCGGACTTGTCACAAATCACATGGAGGTTTATTTGACACTTAAAATTACGTTTACAGTCCCTTTAATGCATTGTATTTTCTTTATTGTACAACTATTAGAGTGTAAAATAAATATATTTTTGATTTCTAATAAAAATTTTTGATTTCTAATAAAAGAAATAATATTATTAAAAATTAGACCAGTTATTAGTTTCGAACAACAAAATAGTTTTTTTTAGAAATAAACAATATTTGACTTCACCTATTTTTAATTAAGTTTTTTATCTTAAAAGATTTTTAACATCCTTGCAATGCAACCAAACCACAAAAAAATTCACTAGAAGGGGATTATTCATTTGGTTTGCTGTCCCTATTAACCTTGTAAAGCCTTTATTTGTATGTACGGCTTATTCTCACTGATTAAAAGTTGGTCCTGTACTTGACATGAACCGTAGTTTATAATGCAACCAGTTGGCTTGTATTAATTTGAATGTTAGAATAAAACTAGAAAAGATGTAAGTAAGGTTTCCAGCGAACGAAAACTTTTTCGAAAAAATACGAACTTTTCCGTTTGTATTTCACAACTTTTTCGCGCAATTTCGCATTTCTTCGTGAAAATACGAAACTTAGAAAAGCGAAAAGATGCCAATACGATGCAAAATTTCGCAAAAACACTCTTTGCGCAAAATAATTTCTATTTTTGTTATTTGCGGACCGTCACTTCGTGTTTTATGCAATCGTTTGAAATCCCGTTCATTAAAAAACAGTATAATAAAATTTTTCAAAAAAGCTAAAATGTTTTTTCATCCTAAAGTTTTGTTTCAAATATCTATCTATAATTTCCCCCTGTGAGAACACAATAATATATTTTACAGGCACAATTACACTTTTTGTGTTGCAATGTTTTCAAGATCTGATGCAGAGCTGTAAGCCTGTATGCAGGGCAGGCTTTAAAAATATCTGTTATTATTTAGTTTCTATCCTGCATGGCAATCTATACACTCAGTATTAGTATGGGAAGTTCTATGGGATTTTCAGGTAATCTTAGACTTATCTAGATTTATATACACTGTATACCTTTCAGTACACTGTACATTTTACACTGTTCAGTACATGTACATACTTTTCCTTGATTTTCTTACATAGACGCACTCATCACATGTACATACTTTTCCTTGATTTTATTACATAGACTCACGTATTACGTGTACATACTTTACCTTGATTTTATTACATAGGCTTATATATCACATGTGCATTCTTTACCTTGATTTTCTCAAATAGACGCACATATCACATGTACATACTTTACCTTGATTTTCTTACATAGACTCACAAATCAAATGAACATACTTACCATGTTTGTCTTACATAGACGCACTCATCACATGTTCATACTTTACCTTGATTTTCTTACATAGACTCACACATCACACGTACATGCTTACCTTGATTTTCTTGCATAGACTTACACATCACATGTACATCCATTACGTTGATTTTCTTACATAAAATCACTTTTCATGTGCATATGCTTTACCTTGATTGTCTTACATAGACTTGTATGTACATCACGTACTTTATCTTGATTTTCTTACATAAACTAATACATCACACGCACATACCTTTCCTTGATTTTCTTACATAAACTCAAACATCACACGTAAATACCTTTCCTTGATTTTCTTACATAAACTAAAACATCACACGTACATACCTTTCCTTGATTTTCTTACATAAACTCAAACATCACACGTACCCTTTCCTTGATTTTCTTACATAAACTCACAAGTACAATGTATAAACTTTACCTGAAAAACTGTAAAGGAGAACACTTTCCTTGTTGGTAATTAATCTTTAATTAATTGCAGGGAAAATGACGAAAGTCATTAAATCAATTTTTTAAGCAATGATAAATTTTAAAGGTATTTTTAGGATTTAAAAAGTTAAAAATATCAAAGAAAAAAAAAGAAAATAGGGATTTTAAAATATAAAACATCCCAATATCCTAGCTGCAGCCATAACTTGCTCTGCGTGGAAGTTGCTTGCTTAAAACATTTAACATTTATAATTTTGAAAATACAAAAATAAATTTCAATTGAAAATATTTAATCACCCCAGCTGAGCATGAAAATTTGTGGAGCACTTTAATCTCAAATTTTAATTAAGAATTTTTCTTAAAATGAAAAAGTTTGATGAGAGGATTAACGCCTCAATCATTTATTAAGAAAAATGTTGAGAATAAAATATTACTGTTTCTAGATAAATAAAATAAAAACCCCAAATAGATTGATAATCTTGGCAAAACCCAATAATAACTAGACAAATTTTAGTTTGTTTTTATTCTGATTAGTTTAGAACTTTATCTAAAATATATATATATATATACGAGTACCACTCCTGTCCATTAGCGCCTGATCCAATCAGGTTTCAGTCATGTGTTTGTTTTCTATTCTGAACCAATAGAAATAGTATGGCAGTACCATCTATCTTTCTATCTATCTCATTATTCAATCCGAGTTATGAATCCATCAATCGGCGCTATCAGTAAATAGAAATATTTACTTTTACTGAAACTATGGTGGTACCGATCCCTAATCTTTGTATCTCGTGGTATCTCGAAGACACCTTTGATATTTTAAAATATGAATTCTGATAGATTGAGCAGTCAAAGTTTGAAATATCAAAGTTTAACCCCACCATACTGCAACAATAAAAATATTTGGAAATTAAATTTGAATAGAGTAATTAATTTCTTATTAAGGGAAAATGAAATGCTACAAATGTACTAAATCTGATTAATAGTCAAGTGACAAAAATGAGATTTTATAGGGTAGAATTTTGTGTAGAGTACAATCTTTATTTAGCTAAATATATATTAAAATTTTCATTATGTAAGTTATTTTGTAATTGTGTGTCTTTGTAACAAACTCTGATTTTCTAAAATCCTATATTTTTCACCTGATGGTGTAAACCTTTGATATTTCAAACTTAGATTCTTTCATCTAACAGAATTCATAGTTTGAAATATATTAGGTCTACGGCATTGGGTTGCAAAGATATAAAGATTAAAATATCATAGTTTGTGACAAAGACTCAATTCCTTTAGAACTAGCATCGCAGTTTCGATTTGTAATTAGAAAAAATATGTCTGAAATAATTAGATTTGTAATTAGAAAAAATATGTCTGAAATAACTACTCCTACTTTTTTATTTGATCTACGAGCGTGAGGATCAAAGTTTTTAAACTTTTACGTAAGATAAAAAGGACTTATGCAAAAGAAATAGGTTGAGAACCCAGAGCCCGCGATTTAAAAGCTTCGGCTCGAGTCTTAATTCCTTAAACGCAGCTTTAAGACCCAATCTTAGACCCAACTCTGATGACAGCTTGTGTCACGTGATTGACAGCTGCGAGATCTTAGGCTCGACTTAAGGAGTTAAGCTCAATGAAAATAAAACCGACCTTGGTTGGTTTTAGTGAAGAATAAGGCTCAATGTTGGGTCTTATACTCATCAAAACCCGGAATGCGCCAATTCCAACTATGAAAATCCGCCAACTACAACATTAGACCGGTTTTATGAACTAAATTCTGTTGAAAAATAGATGCAACTTAAATTCGAAAGCCCGAGCCGTAAATAAGGCTCAACAACAGCTTAGACCCAAGTCGTATTTTCTTGAATTTTTTAAATCGCGGGCTCAGCTTCGCCAGTAGTTTTTCCTTAAAAGTTTACTCACATATCTTAGCTACTAACATTCAAGTGGTTCTTACCAGTCTCCCATCGAAATTTGAGTCAAATCGGTCAAGGGGTTCCTGATGAAACTGCACAAAAAAAAAACAGACACCCAAACATAGATTACTACTTTATTTATAGTTGGATTATTATCAAATGAAAACAATAAGCAATTAATTTAAAAGTGTTGACTGTACACAACTGTTGAAATTAACCACTCATTTAAAATTCGGTGATGGTGATGGACCAAACCTCTGTAGAGTAAAAAAGTAGATGTTAATTCCACTTTTATTGAAAATATATTTCGGTCTGGGTTGACCCTCGTCAGTTCATACGATATAATAACCATCAAAATCGATAAAAAATATAAAAAATTAAAAAATTAATAAAAAATTAACCACTCACTTTTACACTTAAAGGGAGTGACCGGCAACGTATGGTGGTTGAACTGAAAATGCAGTATTATGAAAAAAATTTCGGAATCATTTGAGACATAAAAAAACTTTCTACAACGTAATATTACTAAGTTTGAGCGCAAAGTCGACGTTAAAAATCATCAATTTGAGTTGGTACGTTTTGAAAACCGTAATTTTTTAAATTATTAAATAACAACGAAAAAAAATGTAACAAAAATTCTAGAAAAAACTAATTCGTTGTTAGGAACAGGTTGAGAAAATAAAAATTAACTCTTATCATCGACAATAAGTTATCTTATTCATTTACTAGTTTCTATAATCTCTCCTTCTTCACACACATTTTCAATTTTGATTGAAAAGACGACATTTGAAGAACTTGTAGAAATCAGCAATCAAATTTAAAGAATAAGAAATTCAATATAATGATGAAAAAGAAATAATTGATTCTAACATTGATATATTGACATATTACTATTGAGAAATACGTGTTCCTATTTTTATTGAGAAATATGTTCCTAAACATTTAAATAGTTAACTGTAAAATCTTTGTTACACTTTTCCTCGTCTTTGTTTAATGATTTAAAAAAAATCTATTTTCAAAATGTACCCACCCAACTTCATGATTTGAACGTCGACTTTGCGCTTAATCTCAGTAATTATAAAGCGTGGAAACGTTTTAAATGCCTTAAATGATTCCTAAAAACATTTTCCACAATACTACATTTTCACTTCAAACTACCATACATTGCTGGTCACTCTCTTTCATCACTTTAGAGAAATATGTAATTTTTATTTAGGAGTTGCCATTGTGGACGTAGCTAGCAAAGAAAACGGATTTGATATGGACGTAGATCAGATTTCATGGTTCGGTGAGATTTAGATTAATATCCCTGGTTTCCCTGGTATCCCTGGTATCCCCATACCCCATGGTATCCCTGGTATCCCTGATATTCCTGGTATCCCTGGTATTCCTGGTATCCCTGGTATCCCTGGTATCCATGTTATCCCTGGTATCTCTGGTATCCCTGGTATCCCTGGTATCCCTGGTATACCTGGTATCCCTGGTATCTCTGGTATCCCTGGTATCCCTGTATCCCTGGTATCCCTGGTATTTATCTATATCCGTCCTACAATATTGTATATAGAAGAACTGTAATGGATACTTTATATTGTCAACTCTATCAGAGAAAAATAAAGAAAAGATTTAAAGACAGATAAACAGTCAGATGATAGGATGGATCCAGCGTGAATCAGAAAAAATGCGCACTGTGTTACAAAATATCGGATACTAGGCATACAGGACCCATCACCCCCCTCATCTTAGTGATAAATTTAACGTTTTGCTTTGTTTAAATCTCGTAAACCTTGAATAATAAAGGAGTTGGTCACTCAGCACCAAAGGGGTATATCTTCCTTACAGATCATTATTTTTACATCTAGTTTTTTCTAAAGTAAGTCCAGTATATC